AAAATTACAAATGAATAATCATGCATGGCCAAATGCTTGTAATCCCATATTTTCATTTGGACAATGTCGAAATTCTTCTGCTTACAGGCCTTTGAAAATTATTTTATGCTCTGTAAGTTTGCCAGGAAATCGAAACGTGCGTCATTTAGTCTTTTTCAAAGTTCATACTCACTTTTTCACTTCAAAATATGCAACTAAGCTCATTGAATCATTATGAAAGCCACTCATTAATGTCTAGAATTCCTGAGTCCTAAATTTGGTTGTTTTTTCTACAAAATCTCGGCCATTTATTCGGAAAAGTGATTATATTTTTTGCATTAACATAAGGAATTATGTAAGAAATTGTCCTCAAATCAATTCGACAATTAGTGATTTATTTCAACATTTTGCTTAGAAGTTTACACATGAATACATGGAAAAGAATGAACAGAATGACAGCGGAACAAAAATTTCCAATTTATTGGCCGAATCTGATTGGAAACTTGTCATTTCAATCACAATTTTAAACTTCATCTTGTACATTGTGATTATCGTACATAAATTGGTCTGATAAATGGTTTCTCGATGTTGACTAGTTTCCGTTTCTTATAACAAAACATTGGACAAGAAAGATTTTCCTTGGTTCTTCTTGCCAGTCTTGATATTATTAGTTTTGATGATGCCTTTTCATGTGGATAATTCAATGTCTTTCAACCATCCATTGGCTGTCGTTTAGCCTGAGGAGATGAAGAGACAGAGAGTGGGAAGGGAAAAGTTGATATTATTTGCGGTTATCTTTAAAGCTTTTATAAACTCGGTTACAACTTGCTACTGGTTAAACCCTTAAATTGCATAAATTGATAGCCAAGTTAAGTTGATAAATGTGTTGATATTTTTATGCTCAGCTAAACACACAAAAGTGAACAAAATTTTTATAAACCCCAAGTTGATATAAAAGTCAGGTAAACATTTGTTGCGAGTAAAAAATGATATTAAACAAGTTGAACAAGAAAACCACGAAAAAAAGTAAAAAGAATGTTTGGATTAAAAGTTGTCACCATTTTGATAAACTCTTGATACCATTAAAGTTGCCTTCATTCAATTTTAAATCCCATCAAGATTATGTTGACAATATCAACTTGAAATGCCATGAAATGATATAAACATTTGGATGACTTTGAATATTGAAATATATCCAAATGCTTTAATGGTTCGAATGCAATCCAACAAATGTAAATATTAGAAACGGAAATTATGCCAAATCTTATTAAATAGTGAAAATATTGACATTTCTCTTGATATAACATCGAATGATAATCTTTCAATTTTTCTACTTTTAATTAATTCTTACTTAGAAAAGCATCTTCAGATAATCACTTGAATTGATCATTTCCATTTCAGTGAATATACTTTGTTATCTAATTGAATATTAGAAAGCATGATTGAAACAAAAATGGAAAACAAGTTTACAGAACTTTTTTTTCTTCCTTTCCTTAAACTAATGATTTTCTCATTTTAAAGTGGCCTTTTGAGACAAGAGCATTGTGCTGGTGAAGTTGACATGCAATGGCATCTCACAAAAGGTATCAACATTGGTTGTAATGAAGATGCAAGAAAATGCTCAAAGCTGTTTGGAAGAAAAAAAGATTTATTCATTTTTCCATTTTGAAGAGAAAAGTTTGAGAGCAAAATATGAATGAAACTGAACCAATTGTAACTTTGATGAACATTGAAGATTGGACGAGTAATGATGAAGAAAATGAGTTTGTAGAAATGAAAGTTTTCATTTAATGATAAACTTTCAAGTTGATAGCAATAATTTCATTGAATGGAGTGAACAATTTTGAATTAATCAAAAGTCGCATTGAATGGCTTTACTTTGATTTATGAGTTTAAAGTTGAGGAATGATTGTTGTTGAGCAAATTGCATTTACATTAATATTTCAAGTTTGCGTGGGAATTCATTGTTCAACTTACCTGCAACTTGAATGACAATTATGTCAAAATGTTGCAATTAGTCACATGAGACAACTAATGGTTAATCATTTTCCAATTGTTACACTTGGATTTGCGTTTGTCAAAAGTCGAAAGGGCAACTCTAGTCACAGCATTCCACGTTTAATGATCTGACAAAAAACTAGAGTTGACTGGGTGAATCCAACAGGCTGAAGAGGAAAAACATTCAGAGGTATTCGTGGATGTTTCAAGGGAACCTCACGATAATTCAATAAGTTTGCCTCGAGAAATGTTTGATATCACATGTAATGGAATGATAATGGAAGGTGAAATGGAAACCAATAAGGTAAAGAAAAGTGAAAATGGATAACAAAAGAGTCACCAATTATAAATCACATTAGTCGATCTTGTAATTTACTCTTATTCACTTTTAATATCATTATTATCATCGTTATCATCGCTATTAATATCAACATTTTGGAAGAAAAGATTATCAACTATTCGGTTAATTTTCATGGGAACGGCGTTCAATGAAAAACTTGATTCTTTTGTCAGAAGTTCACTTCATTTCTTACCTTTTCTTGTAATACCTTCAACTGTCCAATCAAGTAAAAGAAGAGAAAAGGTAAAAACTGATAACGATTATGATGGAAATAATTTTAATCGAAATTCTCTAGAGAAATGAGGCAAAATTAGAGTTTCAGTTGTTCCATGAAATTAGGTTTTCTATCATCTATTTTGGCTCTACAAGAATGCTGGCACATGGAAAAGATATGAAACTTGGAGAATGATAATGATGATACAAAAAGGGAACAAAATTACCTTGAAATAAATAATAATAATAACATCAATAAAAGTTATTGGCCAAACAGCTTTCATGGTTAACTTTTACTTTTCATTCAATTTGCCAATGAAATGAACAATTGTTATCCATTCAAAAAGCCAATAATTGATATCAAAGTAATGATATTTTTGGGTGAAACTGAAAAAATATTCACTAATTTAATCACTTTTATTCATAGAAAATATCTCGAGATTTAACATCAACAGAAAACTCGCCGATTGCGACCAATTTCATGCTCCATAATTGAAGTGAATAAAGGATAAGAATTTCGGTCCATTACAGGTCACATTGACTCGATAATGACATTACTCTAAGAACTCAGAAAATGACTTTCCATGTGACTAGTTATTCATTTCTAGTTATCACAACATTCACTCCCTGTTATCCTTCCCTGTTGACCATTCCCTGTTATCTAATTTCATATCTGATTTGGTCTCTTGTTTTAAAATCAATTGGAAAGTATTGAATGGAAAAAAAAATTCTTTTCTTTTTCAGTTTTTTTTTGTTCTTTTTACTCGGATATTCCAAGGAATGGTCAGATGATTCATTGACATGTAAAAATGTCATTTTCTGGTTGAAATTTGGCTAGCTTTTTCGGGTTGAAATCCATAGCAATTTATTATTTTTCAACAGTTTGATGAGAAAAAGAAGTGAAAATAATTTTGACTTTTCGTGTGAATTTACTTTAATGGAGAAAGCGGCCAATTCTTTGTTTTTTGGGTTAAATTTTATTCCTGCTGTTTTTGTTCCTCTGACTATCTACTTGACTGATCAATACCCATGTGTACCTTGAAATTTATTGTCAAGATAATTGAAAATCGGTCTTGAGGAAAATAACGAGAAGATGAACAAGTTGAACAGCAAAAAGTTGAGTTGAAAGTGATAAACACTTTTCCTTTTCTTCATCTTCTTCTCTTGTACTTTTTCTTACCTGTCGTTGATGCTGCTTTTCCACTTTGCTTGTGACATTCTCATTTTCATTTTTACATTCCATCATGGCACTTTTTGTTCACCTGAACATTTTGCTTCTATCCTTTGCTCTTGTTTTTCCCAATTTTCACTTTGCCCTGCAATCTGTTCAAATGGTTCAAGATATCCATCAAGTTGACTGTGATTTACACCTTGAGGCTGATTATTTGTACAAAAATCTTTTCTTCTTTTTTTCAAACTCTATTTCAAAGTCATTCCCTTAGCTAATACAATAGACTTACCTTGAAACTGTGAGCCTCAACTTTCCCTTCATGATAAAGTGAGGCCAACAAGAGAAAAATATTCAAAAAAATCGATAAAATTTTATTTTCAATTTGATTCATTCGTAAAGTGAACAAAAATGAACACAAAATTTCAACCCATCAACTTGTTCATTTTGTCAGATTCCCTGTCAGAGTTCACCTTTAGAGAAAATGATGAATTTTTTGGTGAATTTTGTGGTTAATTTCAATTGGTAATTTCAAGTCAAAGAAAATTGTAACTTCATTGAAGAACAATTTGAGCAGCAAAAACATTCAACAGTTCAATTCCAGAGAAGAGTTTTTGGTTAGAAAAAAAAGTTTAAAATCTGTTCATTTCAAATTGAGCGGAAAAAGATGATGAAAAAGTGGAGTTAAAAAATTATCCAAAATAATTGTTGTTGAGCTTTTTTGTTTTCTCATGTTTCAATGAGTTTCAATGGAATCCAATTGACTGAAAATGTCAATGATGACAAGATAACTGGTAAATGGCAAAGTATTAAGCTGTTGATTTGGACTGGAATAAGGTGAAGCAGAATGAGAAAAAATGGATTTCATGAGTTGACAGAAAATTGAGTTTCAAATGAAAACTCATCCACATGACTATTGTGTATTGAGTAGAGTTGTGCATGAGATTGCAAGTGAAGGAACGAAAAGCTAAGAGAATAAAATATTTTCTCCAAATAAAGTAAGGTGTAATATCATGATTGTTCCCCTGAGATGAAACAAAACTAACAATTTTCAACTCTTCTGGGAAGGTATAACAATAATGGTACAACGTGAATGCGTTAGTCGCTTCACTGAACATTTATACTGAAAATGGTTCACATTGGAGTGAGACTCAAGATGAAATAATCTTAGATAAACCTTGTTTCTGTAAACTGTTAACATTCATCTACACAGGGAATGATAACTGAACACAAATCATTGTTCATCAACCTTATCCTGGTTTAGTAGTTGATCAATATTCAAACTTTACGATTTTTTGTTTTTTTTAGTTTATTAAGTTAATCAGTTACAAAATGTTTCGTTTCGCTCATTTACTGATGAGCAATGTACAGTCTTTATTATACATTGAGAAGAAGGCGGGAAAATTATGTAAAATTATCAGCACGAGTGAAGCAGCATGCAGCCAGTAAGATGATAAAGATGAGTTCCAAAGAGATTTTCCGAAATTGGCTGAAATCGAAAAAAGGAAAAAAGTGATTTATTGAAACCATTGAGATTGATGGAGATTCAAAGGGGAAAGGTTTAAATAAAGATCTTTATCTTAACGCAATCCAAATGTTCACTCAACTTTGAACAAAACTAATGACTTTGATCTTTTCAATGAAATGAATAATTAACTTAATGTTTTGTTCATCAAATGCTGTTGAATTTTCTCATTTCCACAAATGAAGGGAAATATTTTTAGCTTTTATTTAAACGCTTTCATTTGATTTAACTTTTTATTGAATTAAAATGCTTTCTACTTACCACTTACTTTCATATACTTTTCCTTAATAACTGTTTGAAAAGTTCCTTCAACTGAAATTTCACATTTATAACGACCAGTTGAGTTTAAACTTACATTACTAAGCACAACAATTCCTTGGTTTGATTTATCTTTCTGCAAGAAAAACGATGAAATTATTCGAGATTAGAAAAGTTTGATTGAAGGAAAAGTTGAAACTTGTTAAACTTTCCAACGCTAAACAGGCCATTATCGATGAAGGAAAAGAGCAAAAATGATGAAAAAGTGTTCAAATCTGTAACATGGAAAAGTGACAAAAAGAAAAAAATTTTCCAATTCCAATTTTCCATGAAAAGTTTATTCCATGAAAAGGTAAATTTGAATAATTTGTAGCCTTGTTTACTGGCAAAACAATGTTATACAAATTGAAAGTATTAATAGGGATAAAATGATGAAGATGGGAGATGAAAATACAAATGAATAGCGAAAGAATAGGAAAAAGGTTGAAATCTCGAGAGACTTTCAACTAATAGTGTTTAAAAGCTTCAAATTAAGGATACATTTTGGTACATTTTGTTACATGAAGAGAGTAAAAAAACAGGTAAATAGAAGAAAAAAATGTTGACTTGAAAAGTTTCACTTTTTTTCTATTCGCTTTTATTCCAAGTTTACCTTTTACCTCTCTTCGAGTGACTGTTTTACCTGCAAGTAAACACAATTGCTCATCAATAACAAGCTTTAAACTCTTTTTTTTCTCTTCGATTTTTTTGCACTTTACAATAATTGGTATTCCAGGGAATTTGCATGTTTCAAGATTATTCACATTATTTTTACTCTGAAAATTGATTAACGAATTGAATCTTGTTTAAATGGTTTCTACATTTGAAATTGTTCACTTTAATTGTCTTTTCTTTCAGCAACATTTCCAGATTAATTGATCATCAACAAGTGCTGTTAATCAGATTATCCAGAATTGAACTTTTCATCGCCTTTCAAGGTAATTAAAGTTGACTTTTAACTCTTCAAGAGAAGGCTCATTACAATGATTAATCTAGATTAAATGATTCATAGAAGTTAAAAGTTGAAACAAAAAGGTAAACAAAAAGGTTGACATTAAATGAAAAGAATTTAATTTTTGTCAACTTTTCGAAGCAACATTTGAAAATGTTGTCAGTCAAATGGCCAATTAACAGGTGAAATGGATGGTCAATTTGAATGGGTTCACTTTGCTATTCAAATGACATTCAATGTTGAATGAACATTCATTTATTCTCGCTGCTTCAGGCTTCTATATCTTTGAAACTCTTTTCATCTTTTACATCTTTCTTCATCTTCTTTTCCTTCTTGATTATCTTAAAAAAAAGGGAACCTCGGAATGACTTGAGTAAGTCCAGCTCAGGGAATCTGAAATAGATACAACTTAACCCTCCTTAGGGTCTCTCTATCAGAGTAAATCTCTTTAGATGCTTCTTCACAATAAATCACACCCTTGGATGTTGTTTGATATAACAAGTAAAGAAGAAGAAGCAAAAAGCTTTCGTATAATAATGGTAATAGTGATAATAATAATGATAAACAAAAAGAGGGTAAAGGGAAGAGAAAAAATTGAGCCCAAAAACAGATAGAGAGAGATGAAGATGATAGACTGAAGAGAAGGTATAAACAGAAAAAATAACAGTAAAGGAAGAGATAAGAATTTTGTCTCTAAATGATTAAGTTGTATTGAGCTTGTCTTGGATGCTAGATGATGGTTAACATTTTCATCTTGCTTCACTTGTCCAGTTTAATATCAACCTTTCCCTTCAAATCCTATGTTATATAAGACACAAAATTCACACCACAGGAGATATTTGGTTTCCTCTTTGACTTAGTTTTATCATTTTGCTGTTTCTTCTTCTTCTTCTTCTGTCAGCCACTTCAACTTGGTCAAGCTGCAATTGAATGGAAAATATGGGAAAAAGATAAACTTTTAAAAGTTCAATTGTTCATTTCCATTGTTGAGCTCATGTAAAAATGTAGCCAAAGAAAGTATTTAAACTAATATTCTACCAATATTATCATGGAAACCCATCAAAATTGCCAGATAATATTGAATAGAAAACGATATTTTTGGGTTTCTTTTCAAAAACGATGGCAATAATAATGCAAATCATTAGCTTGAACTGAAAGCAAAAATGGTTTACATTGGTTAAGGTAGTTTATCAAAATTCATTGTGCTTTTTGGTTCATCATGGAATATTATTTTCTGGTTAGATTGTTGAATCTCTAGTGATTTCATGTTTATCTGATTAGAAGATTCAATTATGTGAAATGATATCGAGCAAATCTTAATTGACAACAAAAATGAAAGTTGAAAAGACTAAACCTTTTAACTCGAAAGATAGTTTGACAAGTGTTTTAAAGGAAACCAAAACTTGGGATAAAAACATTCTTTCATTTAAACGGCAAAATTTTCATTCATCAATTTTCAACTGAACCTTTAAGTAATTGAACAGAATCATTAACAAACTAATCTGTGAGTTTACAGTAAACAAAATCACTTTTCGATTGCGATACTCAATTGAATCAAAATTGTTCATGAGTTGACTAAATACTATCATTGAACAGTTCCAGGCTGATATATTGATTTTCAACAATTAGTCCAAATCTCAGAATTTCTTCCTCAACTATTTTGAATAATTTCAATGAAAAACAAATTCCGAGTCGAAATATTCTGATGGCACTTTACTATAGACTACTGTAGATATTGAAGCTTTGTCCATGAGTAGGCTGATTATTTTGATAAAACTCAGAGAATGAAAAAGGATGAAAATGTTTGCTTTTGGACAATTAAACTGTTGCACTAAAAAGACAAAAGGAAAGAGCCAATGAAATGATAATTGTTGACCAAAACCGGATTCTGTTGATTGACAAAGGTTAAATTAACAATTTCCTTGAACACACAATCAGATGATTCTTTCCCTGTTCAATTGGTGGACAGAAAATAGGAAAAGGATACAAAACTTGATAAGAAGACAAGAACTTTTTTCTTCTCTACTTTTTTCCCCTGGTCAACTGAAAGCACATTTTGAATTATGCATAACAGCAACTCAAATGAAACAATTGATCACATTATGAACCTTAAAATAAAATAGCAACACAGGAAAGCATAATAATTATCATTGAGGTTAACCTGATAATGTTCATAATAATCATAAATTCCGCTTCAATTAATCAATGATCATCAATCAAATGGATCACCAGAAAAGATTAATTTCTGGGTTTGACCAAGAATCTGAATCAAATTTTAATCATAACATTTAACTCAAAGCAATTTCACAGAATTTTGGAGAAGAAAAAGAAAGTTAAATTGTTGAACCAATTGAATGATAATCAATTCAAGTGAACAATAAAAAAGTGAATTTCATTTGAAAAAAGTTTTCGACTTTTACCTCAAATTGAAATGAATAAAATAATGATAATTAATAAAAATTTCAAATGGACGAGGTTCAAGATGGAAACTCATTAAATTAATTGATAATTATTGAACTGAAGATAACTTGACCAGGTTGGCTCGGATCATGAATTGTGTTATTTTATTGTGAATATTTTTATTACATATTAGTAAATGATGGTCAGCTTCCCAAGAGGACAACTTATCATTGGGCGATTCTAATAACTCTGCTTCTATCGACTATTGTTATCAGTATTATTACAATGGCTTTCCTCATCTCCCAGAGGTTCACCTTTTTTTCAGTTCATTTTCATTCTATTTATCATTTCAATGAATGGATCAACATTTTTCAGCCAATCGGTTGTTCATTTGTTAATTGTTGCCATAAAAATGCGAAAACTTCATTGAACCATTTAATGTTGAGAATGTAAAATTCAATTCATTTAATTGCCGAGTTAATCAATTTTAATGAAAAATTGGACACCATTAAGTAATTATTAAAGAGAAAACATTTTTTGAATAAATTTCCACTTTGCCTGATGTTCAAGATTATCTTTAAAATTTGAAAACTTATCAGATCAAACTGGGAATGAAAAGTTAATCAGATAAAATTGGGTGTTTCAAAGGTTATTATCGTTATTTGTTAATGGTTTTGATTTGGATAAATGGCATAAATCTAATTAAGAGGTGAAATAAAAAGGCAGGTTTTACTATCAAATGGACAGAGTTAATCATTCATCAATATGATTGTTTTAATAGTAATTGGATCAACTTATTCGATATTTTTCTTTGACTTTTTTTTCCTTTTCAAATGTGTTAATGTTGTCTCTTTTTTCTGGTTATTTTAATGATTAGTTGTGGCTTTGAATGGATATAAAAAAAGGTGAGAAAAGAGTGGGTTCATTGAAATAGAACCTGATGATTGGTAAAGCTAATTAGCTGAAAAACTTTTAATGTCTGTTATTATCATGTTATGGAAGGGAACTGATGAAGTTTTCATCCAATTCTTTCTTTTTTTACATGAACATTCCATTAATAACATTTGACTGGCGAGAAAATGATATCATTAGAATAGATAAAGACTGTAATGATGATGTTATAATAGTTGAGAGAAGACACTTTATGAATTCAAAATTCAACAGACTCAATATCAATTAGGTTGAAAATGTTGTATTTGGCAGTTTTGTGAGTTTCTGCAAAATTATTGTTTCATTAAATGTTTCAAGTTGATATTGAAAATGTCTAATGGCTTTGCAAGCTAAAAATGGTTGAAAATTTGAGGAAACCTAAAAATTGTTGGATTATTTTGTCTGGTTTAATGGCTGGTTTAGGTTAGACAGCAACAGTTTGTTAATGTTTCAGGATTGGAATGGGAATTGTGACAGTTTTGGACTGAAATTGGGTTCTATTGTTACTTACATTTACTTTTGTTCCGGTAACGTTAAATGTTTGTGTTTTTGCTTCTGATTTTGGTGCATAACGGTAAAACTCTCGACCATTGAAGTGCCATTTAAGTACATATAAAGAGTCCTTTTCTAAGTCATAGATACACTTCAATTCAACATCTGACCCACGAGTAGCTCGATCGGGAACAAATAGGTTAACAAGTTTAATACAAACTATCCCGTAATAATCACTTAACATGGGAACAATGATTAACAAACAGGCAAATGTGAGGAAACTAAATTTTTGCAGTGAATACATTGTTAGTGTCTTTTAGTCTCTAATTGTTGGACCGTGGTTTTGATTGTAAAGATGATTTTGTACACAACTCTGTAACTAAATTAAAGTTTTGAAAATTTTTAATTGTCCAAGTTGTTCTATTGCTTAGTTGATGATGAGCTCGAGTTTGATGTTACTGTGAAATGGTTGGGAGAAAGGGTTTGATTAGAGGTTTAATTTGGGTGATTAGTGGTGTCGATGTTGGTTTTGTTTCAAACTTTTGCTGATTCGTCATTCGAATCAACTCAAAGTTTTACATTCAACTAAAATAGATTATCGTTTTCACTGTTATTTCCAATTCTCAGTGAGATTCTCACTGTTGAACATGCGATTCAAGTTTATTGAACAACATTACATTTTCAGAGTTAATCTGCCATCTATTGAGTGTAGAAACATTTAACACTTGTTATTGATGTTGATTAAAATCTTTAATATTTTAATGACTGTCTGTGAAGGTAATTTATGGTTAATAATTGAAAATAGAAGTGAAAATAATTTACTGTTGGGTTGATTTGGAGATTAAATTGTTGCGAATGTTGATTCAACAATTTATTATCATTTGTTGCTATTGGCAACTTACTGGTTGTAATTGGGAGACGAACCCCTGTTAAAGCCGCTTGTGGAGATTTGTATGATGACAACTCAGCAAATGAAAATCTCTATTTGAGAAAAACTCGATTACAATTTTCACTGGAGTTAATTTTGACTGTGTTTCTCATTGTGGCGTCTTAATTAGTCGTGTATATGGTTATTGGTCTTTAGTGTTTGTGTTTCTATGTGTTTATCGCTTCTGGTTTGCTTCTTTATTAGATTATAAGCTGTTTCTTTGAGCAATTATGGCAGCAAACGGGTTTCAAGAATTTATCGAGAGTGCTGAGGACGTTGATGGTGTTCGTTTTAATTGGAACCTTTGGCCTCAGTCAAAGGTTGAAGCAACCAAAATTGTTTTACCTTTAGGCTGTTTATTTACACCTTTGAAAGAATCGTCTACTCGACCAATACCTCCCATCACATATGAGCCTGTCCTTTGTACCCGGCAAAATTGTCGTGCCATTCTTAATCCACTTTGTCAAGTAGATAATCGAGCTCGAATATGGATCTGTGCTTTTTGTTTTAATCGGAATCCTTTTCCTGCTTCTTACAATAATATTCAAGACTTGACCCAGTTAGCTGAAACTATGTTTAGCACATTAGATTATACAATTACAAGAGCTCCTAGCGGAACTGGTCCCATATTTTTATTTGTTGTTGACACTTGCCTCGATGAAGAAGAGTTGACTTCACTCAAGTCCAGTATACAATCATCATTCGCTCTTTTACCTCAGAATGCTCTAGTTGGTTTGATTACATTTGGCCGTATAATTAGTCTCTGGGAGCTTAACTCATCCTGCGCTAAATCATTTGTTTTCCAAGGTGGAAAAGATTACACTGCTAAGCAAATTCAAGAGTGGCTCGGTATTTCAATTTCTAACCGAGCTGCACCCGCAGGACCAACTCCAGCTGGTGCTGCCGGTCATCATCCTCCTGGCCATCATGGACCTGGTTCTCATGCTGCTCTACCCAAAAATAATGCTACCAAATTTTTACAACCAATTTCTGAATGTGGAGCTGTACTGTCGGATATCCTGGATCAATTAAATAGAGATCCTTGGCCAACACCTCAGGGTAAAAGGTCTTTGAGAGCCACTGGAGCAGCTCTTTCTATTGCCACTAGCTTTTTGGAAGTAACATATCCAAACAGTGGTGCAAGAGTAATGCTTTTTATTGGAGGACCCTGCACAATTGGACCTGGTATGATAATTGATGACGATTTGAAGAATACTATTCGGTCTCATCACGACATTGAAAGTGACCGAGCTAAATTTATGAAAAAAGCTATCAAACATTACCAAGGATTGGCAGCTCGAAGTGCAAATAATGGACACACCATTGATATTTACGCTTGTGCATTGGATCAAACGGGACTTCATGAAATGAAACACTGCGCCAACATGACTGGAGGGCACATAATTATGGGCGATTCATTCGAGACAAGCTTGTTCAAAACTTCCTTCCAAAGAGTTTTCAATAAGGATAGTAACCAAAATTTAAAAATGGCCTTCAATGCAGTAGTCGAAGTTAAAACATCAAGGGAACTCAAAGTTTCAGGAGCCATAGGACCATGCATATCAAGTGGTATTCGAAATCAATATGTTAGTGATACCGAGATAGGTATTGGTGGAACTGCTCAATGGAAATTCTGCTCTCTTACACCAACTATGACAACAGCCTTTTATTTTGATATCGTTTCTCAAAATCAAGCCACAGCTGCCCAAACCTCACAAAGAGGTTACATTCAATTTATCACTCAATATCAAGGATCAGATGGATTCCAACATGTTCGTGTAACTACGGTTACACGTAATCTTAGCTCTACTGATTATGCCTTTGATCAAGAATCAGCTTGTGTTCTTTTAGCTCGTTTAGCATGTCACCGAGCTGAAGCTGAATCAAATGGTCCAGATGTGCTTCGCTGGTTGGATCGTAACTTGATTAGACTCTGCCAACGTTTCGGTGAATTTAGAAAAGATTCCCCAGATTCATTCCAACTTACACCCAACTTTAGTATGTTTCCGCAGTTTATGTTTCATCTTAGAAGATCCCAATTTATTCAAGTTTTCAATAATTCACCGGATGAAACTTCATTTTATCGACATGCTCTTCTTCTCGATGATTGTATTAATTCATTGATAATGATTCAACCAACCCTAGTTTCGTATTCTTTCTATGAACCTCCACACGCAGTTCTTTTGGATACGAGCTCTATTCAAGCCGATCGAATACTTTTGATGGATACTTTCTTCCATATAGTTATTTTCCATGGACAGTCGATTGCTGAATGGAGAAAAGCTGGTTATCAAGATCAAGAAGGTTACGAATCATTTAGAGTGCTATTGAGTGCACCAATTAATGATGCTAATGAGTTAATGTTAAATCGATTCCCAGTTCCCCGGTATATTGTTTGTGATCAAAATTCATCTCAAGCTCGTTTCCTCTTATCTAAAGTCAATCCGTCTCTAACCCATAATACAACCATTGGTTATTACGGCGATCAATCAGCAACAGCTCCAGTTTTAACAGATGATGTTTCTCTTCAAACTTTCATGGAACACTTGAAAAAATTGGCTGTAAGCTCCAGTGCAACATAATAATTAACTAATTTTCTAGGTCATTTTAGGTTATATTATCACAATCAATAAAGAAATACTAAAAGCATAAATGGTTATGAAGAGAAATTTAAATGAATGAAAAAGAAAAACTTAAACAATGTCCAAAAAGAATTGTTTTTAAAATTGATTTATCAATGAATAAGATATTAAAATATTAAGTTAACTTGGTTTAAACTTCAAGACTTATATAAAACGGAAAAAATATTATTAAATTGAATTTTTGCTCTCAATATCTAAAAGTCTTATTTCCATGTATTTCTTCGGTAAGGTGGCAATACGATCTAAATTTGGTAAAAAAAGATTAATTTGTTTACATGTTTGATATCTAATCCGGAGTAGAACTGAAACAATCTAATAACTGTTTTTGACTGAATATCACCTGATAATATTATCAAACAACTGACTCATTTACAATCAACTTATTTATCAGCCGATGTGTAAAAACCTTATTCATCTTTAACATTCACAGTTAGTGAAACATTATGATTAACAACCAATGTGAATGTACTCATGACAAGCAGATAGGAAATCGTCATGATTGAACCAAGACTGTGGAAACTCTTGTAATTTCAATTGTTTGCTTAACCTTGAAAGGTAAAAAAGTGTTTCAATGAATGAAAGAAATGTTGATTTCATCTTTCAACTCAATTAAACGGCTGACCTCAACCAGAAATGACCATCACAAAATGGATTATTTGTTTACTAGAACCAATTAGTTGACCTTAAATGCAGTCAAAAACTGTCAAAACAGGTCACAGGTTTATCAGGTAAAGAGAAGGTTAATCCATCATGGTTCATGAAAGTTGGTCAATTGTTATTGTTATGCAAGTGGCTATCACTACGAGTGGAGAAATGGTCATTACAAACAGCTGATTATAAAGATGACGATACTTGCAATAAAGATGATAAACTGGGAAACTTGTCCGTAATGTCATGAGCAATGATATCCTTTAACAGTAAACCTGAACTAAATATATCTGAAAACCACAAATAAAATAAATTCATTTAAACATCATCAAATTATTTGAAATGAAAACAGAAAATGCAATTTCTATTTCTCACTCAAATTCAACTAGTGACACCTCAGCTGAGGCGGAGTCTTGAATCTCTCTTGGCAATGTGTTGCTGGGATAAACAAACTTATTCACTCTTTTTTCTCAATTGATAAGGTTACTTTTTTGTTGCTTTTTGATTGTTAGAGTCAATATTTTTTACCTGACTTTGTGTCTTCTGTTTACATTTAAAAACAACTTTAATTGGACCTCTTTACACTGGAAAATAAACATATTCTGACTTCATCTCATTGAAACTGGTGAAAGAGGGTTTTGTTATTTCATACATTCTACAGGTCAAAGTGTGGTTATTTTATTCCACTTGGCACAGTGCAATACAAGTGTTATCCTCATCTTGTCTAGTCTTATTACCATGTTGATTATTTTTCATCTGTCAAATTAATTTTATTTTTTCTCGATACATTAACCATCTTCAACTTGCATCAGCTTTTATTATTGTCTAAACCTTTCTTGCTCCTAACGAGCTGTTGATTGAGAGGATCTTAAACCATGGGTAATTTGCTGCGATTATTATCCAGAGACGAACCACCAAAGTACGATGTGTTTGTTGACTTTGAGAGTAAGTTTTTTCATCTATTCAATTATAATTAAATTTTTCCCTTGTAATTAAGTGATTTCTATGTTCCTTTCTGTGCACATCAGTGATTTGTGTTTCATGTTTACCCCGTCAATATCTAGTATACTGCCTTAAATAGTCAATGTTTTGAAAATATCCCATGTCGCTCCTTAAATTGTTATCGTTACATAATAATTTCTGATCTTTCAGCTGATTTTAGTTTTCAACATGTATATTTGTCGAGCCATTGATATTAAATTTTACTCACAAGTACCTGAATATTGATACCCTAAAAAACAGTACTTTTCATGGATTTTGCATTCAACTTTTTTAACTTGTTTCATGATCAATATTCACCATTTTTTCTTCCTTTTTTTTATTTTTTATTCTCTTAATCATTCTCAGATGCTCAGCCGAGTGAATCGGAAAAGCAGCTCTTTCAAGAAGTTGAAATGGTTTTGATAAAAGCATCCGACTTACTTCATCAGCTGCAAACATATAAAGGAGCCGGTAACGAGATCAGAGAGGTAATGCCATTAATCCCAATCTAAAGCTCAAATGCCTTCACATCCATCAACCAGAACATGATCATCATCTTACTGTCATTAGCACATTGCATTTTACCTATATCTTGCTCTTCGCCCTCTCCTTCTCTCTCTCTCTCTCTTTCTTTTCCTCTCTCTCTGTCTCTCGACTTATTTTATTTTTTTGAGCGCACAAACTGAGAACATGTCATTTCTTCATCCAATTTTGTCTTCCTATTTCCTTTAGTATGATCGACTGTTCACTTATCTTTAAAACATCATTTTATCATGATTACCATTTTTTATTTCTCTACTCATACTTTTTTCTGTTCTTTTTTCAGGCAATTGCAAATCCACAAAACGAGGCTATACAAATGAAAGCTTGGCAGACTGTAACTCCTTTGGTTGATAAATTGAAGGATTTCTACTTGTTTTCAATCCGATTAGGTAATGAGTTCTCCTCAACTTATTATCCAGCCAAGTCTTTTTTTTGGTCAAATGGCCCATCCAGTTTAATGAGCATATTGTAATAAACGTTTTTTTCTGGAATAATTATTTTTATCCGATTGCCAAACATCTTAGAGGAAAAACTTTTTGCTCTCTCTACCAATTTATCGTTGATTGATTTAGTGGTTACTCAAGTTGAATTTTTTGCGTAAAATTATGTTTTTGATTGAATATTTTTACCTCTTCAACATCCGCTCTTACATCCACTTTTTGAGTTTCCGGGAAAACATTGTGCTTTCCGTCAAAATAACATGTCAATTCCTTTGAAAACTATTCGTTTTGTAGATATACTCATAATGTAATGACTAATTACTGTTTTTTGTTTTTCCTTCCTTTTTTCTTGAATTCATCTAGAATCGATTATTCCCAAGCTTTTAAATGCTTTAACAAGTGGACCGATGACACCTCGTCATCACCTTGAAACTCAACAAGCTTTGGTCAAACAATTTGCTGAAATACTCGATTTTGTTTTAAAATTTGATGACATAAAGATGTCTAATCCATCAATTCAAAACGATTTTAGCTATTATCGTCGAACAACTTCTAGACTAAGCGTACCCATGGAATGTGCAATGGCCCCTGGCAGTCTTACTTATCGTCAATACAATCATGATTTGTCCAAAGAGTTGGCTAATCGAATGTCACTTTTCTATGCCCATGCAACTCCAATGTTGAAAGTCCTTTCCGATGTCACATCTAATTATGTTGTGGCTAATAAAAATGTTCCTATGGATAATACAACCGAAACCTTGAGTACCATGGCCAAAGTCTGTCAACGGATGGTTGAAAATCCGTAAGTCTAAACTATTTCACACCAATCATTACAAATGAATTTATTATTTAACTTTAAATTGTTTTCTTTTTTCAGGGAATTTTGTTCTCGTTTTCAGAGCGGAGACACAATATTGTTCGTTTTAAGGGTTATGGTTGGTGTTATAATACTCTACGATCATGTCCATCCATCTGGTGCCTTCTCTAAATCATCACATATTGACATTAAAGGATCAATCAAAGTACTTCGCGAACAACCTCCTAATATAGTAGAAGGCTTACTTAATGCTTTAAGGTGAACATAAATTTTAAAATTTCAAATTTCAAACACAAAAAACTCCTTTTAAATAATATTCATTTGTTAATCAAGTTTCATCTTGTTTTTTTCATCAGGTACACAACCAAACATCTCAATGACGAAAATACTCCTAAACAAATTAAAGCTTTATTGGTTTAATTCACTTTGCAATGCAAATGGAAAAGTATTCATTTCTATGTGAATATTTTCCTCCCTCCATTAAATCTGCTTCATCAACCATCCAGATAATTGTGCCAATCTCTCTTTCAAAGACAAAAAGAAAAAAATTATATGATTTATAACATGTGTATAACAAACTCGCCGGGTTTTCTTTCTTTTAACACCATTTATTATTGATCAGTCAACGTTGTGATTGAAAACATTTCGAATACAACTTTAATGTCACATTATGAAAGTAAACCGCAATTAGTTTCCCTGATGAAAAATAAGTTAGCTATATACACATGTATTATATTTTATCCTGTTATTGATTTTGCAAAGTTTATCACCATTAATAAATTGGAAATAAAATTAAAAGGACAAAGTAAACTTGGGTATCTAGCCATTTAAAATTTCAAAAATATTCCTAGTAATAGATGTTATTTTTGCACATTTATGGATGAAAAGTGTCACTGAAAATTAATTCTATAGCGGCTTGAACATCTCCATTTGTAGCATAAAGAGCTTGGAGACAAACATTTTCATCAGTTAACCCAATTTCTCTCATTTGAGCAATTTGTTGAGACATATCAGGGCGAGCTGGAGGAGCGATTGATTGACCAGAATTGTTGGTGACTGAAGGCGTGGAGGGAACTGAACTGTTTCCCTGTTGACTTGTAGATGGTTCAGTTAGTTGAAGAGCATGACGAAGCATTTCGAAAGCGATTCTAGTATTATTTTGTTGACGAATCCCTTGTTGTTGTTGCTGTTGTTGATGCTGTTGCTGTTCTTGTTGGTGTTGTTGCTGTAATTGTTGGAGTTGTTGAAGTTGTAATTGCTGAATTTGCTGTGGTGTGCGATTTTGAGGCAATGTGAGCGATGGTTGTTGTTGCTGAGATCGTTGAGCTTGGTTGTGTGAGGCCATCAAAGTGTGTTGCATCAAATGAGCAAAAGCAGAGGCTGTTGTTGGTGACATAACATGTTGACCATTTGGTGGAGGTGCATCAACACCGCCACTCATTTCTTCATCGTCAGACAAATCGTCTAAAGAGTAGGGAACATTGGAAGGTGATGAATCAACACTCATAGCTGAAGGTAAGTTACGACCAGCAGACATTGCGTTCTCTTCATGGAAGGCTGTAGCTAAGTGTGTCGCTGCTTCTAATATAGCTGGATGTTTTTCATACACTTTTTCAATACTATCCTTTTCCATCAGTATGTTTAATAGCTCATGATCATGTAGAGCAGCTACAATCAAAGAAAAGAAACAGGAAACATTTTAAAAACCTTTTTAAATTGGTAAGATGAGTGCAAATGCTTACCGATAGCGATAGGATCGTCTCTAAGACCTGGTGTACATTGGATGAGATTATTTCGAAAATCATTTTCATGAAGACGGGTAAGCATTCGAATAAAACTTGAATTACTAAGAGCAGTTTTTGAGGCGACGACCATATTGTGCATTTCTTTTTGATCAACTTTGGCTTTCTTCTCTCTACCAGGATTCTCATCAACCTTTTTATCAGCACTCCTTTCTTCAGCACTTTTTAAAAACAGATGAACAGTAGCATTGCTCTTAATGCCATAGTGACTTAATGGCTTTTCCTCTTTCAACTTTTTACCAAAACAAACTAACTGATAATCATCAATTAAGCCAGTCAAATTGAGTTTATCTTTAATAGTTGTCATCAGGTTACCAACAGTCAACATATTTGTGTCACTAACTTCATCTTGAAGATCCAACTTGATGATTTCATTTGAAGTCAAAGAAGCGATCTTAGAACACACATAAAGCGATAACATTGTGATTAATTTAAAACTAAGACACTGAAAACTTAACGATTAAATACTAGATTCCGAAAATTCAAACTCATAAACCATGGCAGTCACCAATGGTCACCAATGATTGGTGATATTTTTTAACAACAACAATATTTTAGAGACAAGCTCAGAACATCCTTTGAAAGCGCGCATCTTTTAAATTGCTGACATGTAAATGTTGAACTACAGTTGAAGAAATGTAATTTAAATTATAATTTATTTAATTCTAACCTTTTTATTTATTGAACAACATTAAATATTTGATTGATTAAATCAAAAATGAAAAACTGATCAATTTATTTCATTGATACCAAAAGTTTTGCTTTTCTCTTCGCTTTTCCTGGTTTGTCGATACCTTAAGAATATTTTATTATTATTTTTATGGAGATTTTATTATCAATAAGGAAATTCGAAGGTTCTTTCACAGAAATATAAGACTTTCTATAGTCGAATCAGAAAATTTTAACGATTGTTGTCAATAAAAGTTACTTAAAAACGAATCTAGACACTCAACTGGTTCTTATTATGTACATATCAACTTTGACAAGACGACTGAATAAAAAGATGATTAAGGACGAAATAAATTTGAGCTGATTCAGTCATTTTCAATACGAAAGAAAAGGAATGAAGTAATTTATTTTATAATCAAATATAATCAATAGTTGTAAAGAGGGTTAAATGTAACCCAATGAGCTTTGACTCTGTTTTTAGCTGATGGATGAGTGGTGAACAGCGATTTGTAGGCTTCACTTGCAGTTTCATCTTTGGAAATCGAATAGTCTTCCTTTGCTTTTTCAGATAACATGGTTGATGATTTAGTTACTTTAGAAGATTCTCCTTTAGACTTAATGCTCGTAGTTCCTGCTCCACTTGATTGTCCATTTGCAATTGATTTTTCCAACGAGAATTTTTTACAGTCATCTTCTTCAACAATTTTTCGTTTTTTGCCTTTCTTTTCTGATTTCTCTTTTAAGCGTTTCTCTTCCATTTTAGCTCGAGCCAGTTTTACTTCCTCATCAGAGCCATTCAAAACGACCACATCGTCTTCGGAGAAAGGTTTTCCACATTTATGGCAGGTTTCTGATTTAACTTCCCTCATGCCACGATCAGAAAGGACACATCCACATGTTTGAAGATAACAGAACTTGTATTTTCCATTCATCTCTAGACCAGTAACTGGACAAATATACCTTGAATCTGAAGAGTATAAGCCACCTTCAACAACTTTCTCTTCATATCCAGGTTTGTCGGTAAGAATGAGTTCTTTCACATCTTTGAGTCCACGAATGTGTTCAACGACTTCACTTTTAGTTTCTTTATCCAATAAATATTGAATTATAGCGTCTTTATTGTAAAGTCGGCCCAATGGACATGAAACAATTGGTTTACGTAACTGTTGACAACTGAGAGCACAATAATTCCACTTAGCTGCAGTGTCAGCCTGTTTGTCTTTTTCCTCAGGCTTTTGCTTCTTTTTTACAAGCTCATCTCTTTTTGGGATAGTTCCTCCGTCACACCCCATGGTTAAGAATTAATTTAGTTTCTCAGTCTGAGAAAACCCTATTGAAATAAAGACAGAAAAAACAAAACAAACATTATTACCTAAAAATACAAAACAGTCACATGAAAGTGATATGAATACAGAACAATATTAAACAGATTGATGCATCACAATACAATTTAACAGTAAAATTATAACTTACCAGGTCAGTAAGGATCGGCAGAAAAGAAAATACGCAAATCGAGTCTTCAAACGCAGTTAAAATGCCAAACAATAACAACAAGATAATCCTAAAAACAAGAAAAAAGGAAAATAAAATGAAGCAACAGCTGACAGTCAGAAGCAAGTGCCATCTACCGAGCTATTTGTAAAGCTCAAAAAGTAAATGAGAAATGATTTGCAGTCAAATTACCAAAACCCAAACAAAATCAAACTATGATTTGAAGCTTTTACTAACAAAAAAGGATTTAAATTAAATCATCTGAATAAACCAACTTTCAATTTTAAATCCATATAAAATCGATTGAATAATAAAAAAATAATAAAAGCTGTTCGATGTTTTAAATCGCTTGATAGTGTTGAAAATTGGCGCAAAAAATAATGTTGAAGATTTAATTTTTGAAAAATAAACTGCCATTTTAAATAACAAACCTTTTGAACATTTCAATCAACTTACAGCAGTCATTTTAATTTTAATTATGTTTTGTTAAACTGTTCTTAGTTTATTTATAAATGTGTACATAAATGCTTATCCTATTGAAATCGCAATTGTAAATCTAGTAAAGTTAAAAGTAACTAAAAACTAGAGAAGACAGATTTACATTTCCAATTCAACTTATATATAACATTTTGAGAGTTGCAACATTTAATTCCTTGACTCGAGGAACAACGACCTTTACAAATTTTTATCTCAATCTTTTTTGAACGTGAAAATGAGTTTGTTAAATGTTACTCTAGATTTGAATCAGTCTGCCTTCATCATCACCATAAACATCACCAACATCATCAGTATCATTATAATCTCGTTCTTCATCTTTTCTCTTTTTACTCGTGTGTTTTTTTTCATCATCATTTATCTTTCTTCTTCTTCACCATCTTCACCTTCATTGTGTACAGAAAGACAATATTTAAACACAAGTCCAATGGATTTGTATCATTAAGAAGTGAAGGAGAAGAAAAATAAAATAAGTAAAACCCATTCTCAAAATATATACTGACTAATTATCTGGCCCGTTAACAGGGTTACGTTGATTTGCTCTCGCTGAACATCAATCCTCATCTTCCTCATCCTCATCTCCTGTCAGTGTCTGTTCATTGTATCTTCATCTCAATTATTCTTATCACTTTCTTTCTTCTCCACCCTTACATTTAATCACCTTTTTGCATCTCATCATTTCGAGTCTAATTTCTCTTTTTCTTTTCCCTACTAGATTACAAGGAATAATTAAGACGAAATTTGGTGCATCATCTGAAAAGGACATTCAATAAAAGAAGGATCATCTTTGGAAAGAAGGAGAAGACGAAAAAGGCGAAAAAGAAAATCATTTTCATCTTAATTTCCCTGCCCTTTCCGTTTTTCCATCTTTCATCCTCGTCTTTTTTTCCCATAAAAAAGCAAACCTAATACATCTTGCTTCAGTTTTGTTGTACAAGCCTAGTCAATATAATCATCATTATCATCACCATCATAATCATCATCTTTCCTCATCATAATCATCAACTTCTCAACTTTTTGTCACAATTTCACTTGAAATTCCAGCTTAACTTTTCTCTCATTCAAAGCTTTATCCTTCATCATTATCATCTTCATGGTGAGTACATGTTAAAGGTAAATTAGGAGCTTTGCAGTTGAAGCCAAATGATGATATCAGTTGAAATGTCAACAGATAAAGACGACAAAAAAACGCAAACAAACCAACCTAAAAGTGTATTTTATAAGCAGCTTTTTACACCTTCAAAAAAAGACACAATTTTCATCATCGCCATCATCACCATCACCATCACCGTTACCATCATCATTATCATCATTACCAAACTCTTAGAGAAACCACATTATCATCCTTTCCACTTCTCAATCAGTTTTCAGTTGACAATCAGGAAACCTCCTTCATCTCCTCCCACTAATCATCGTCACAATCATTTTAATAATCATGATCATTACTGTTAATTTAGAGTAAATTGTTCCAAAACTGTAAACAGGGAAACTCATTAACCAACTTTATGAGCATTAAAACTCAGATCAAACCTCAAAACAAGTGAATTGTCATCCCTTCCAATTATAATCATGAACATTTTTCTCTCTAAACTTGAATTTATTTCAATGTTTAATCATTTACTTTTTTCCCATTTCAATTCAATCTGATTGTCACAATTATCGGGAAAAAAATGAATACAAAAAGGGACAAAACAAGAATCCGATTCTTGTATTAATATTTACAATTTGTTTTAGGCTTTTTTCTGAGTCTATTTGTTTGTTTCATTGTAACCTAATAATTGTCATTATTGTTGTCTCAATGTGATTGTCATGTTTATTGATTCAGTTACTGGTCTAATGAAATCAAATGTAATTGATAAAGATGATTGTAAACTTGTATGTGTTTACAAAGGCAAAGATGATCATCAGTTGACCATTAGAAATTGATTCACTTTTACTGGACATGATATGGACAACACAAGATAAAAAAGCAAGTCTCAATAATTGTATTGTCATCTTTGGTGGACACTTTTTACTCTTCTAAGATAATCAGTTAATCATCATTTACTCTAATTTGATTTACGTAACTTTTTTTCACTTGTTTACCAGTTTACTCGATCAGTAGCTAACTTAATTTACTAATGATAATTGTATGGATTTTCAAAGCAATTTTCAATTAAAATGATCAAATAAAATCTACAAACATTTCCTAGTGTTAATCAGCACCAGAGTGTTTCAAATTAACTCAATTTGGCTCATTGTTGGGTGAAAAGAAGGAATTTGAGTTTACAATTAGTTAACAATTTTAGTTGACAAAAGTATTCCAATTTAGACGAGCAAGAGACATTGAATTGACAATTATAATGTAAGAAGGATTGATCCGAAAAAAGGATTGATGAAGACGTAGATGATTATGATGAGGGAAAGATGAAAACAAAGAGAAGCTGTTATTAATAAGCAAATTAATTACAGGTTTGAAAATGTCAAGTAACAAGGAAAACCATGGATAAGCTCAATTGACAATAGTTTATCAAAAAAGACGAAGAGATGTCATTTGAAAAGTATTTTTTCTTCATCTTCTTGTTACAATGAGCATCTCACAAAAAAGAGCTTCATCCTTTTGACTTTCTTTATCCCTCTCTCTTTCAATACTTCATCTGCATTTGCATCTTCCTTTGGGTTAAGGGTAAACGATGGAGCAAAAAGCAAGAAGATAAAGCATAAAAAGGATCATCAGTTTATGACCTGGAAAAAGAGACGAAACAAGATGATGAGTGAAGATGATGTATAAAGAGATACCAATGAAAATAGTGGGTCCATCCCACCTAACTATCATAAGGATTCATAATATAGTTGTATTGATCCAAAAAGAGGTGAGGCTTTGAGCTTTTTATGGTTTAACCCTTAACAAGTGAAGATGTGTAAAGTGAAAGGAAGAAAAGCTTTTTTTCCCATTCATAATGCTAATAAAAGTACAGCAATCACATTGCACAAGCTCTTATCAAATGATGATTACCAACGATATTAACACTCCTCTTCCTCCTCCTTCTTCTTCTTCTTCTCTGTCTTCGTTTTCGTCTTCATCGTCATCGTCATCATCGTTTGCCTCCTCTCACAGAATAATCAGAATCTTGTTTAGAATCTTGTCTGTCTTTGTCTCGCTGGTTCCAATCTTGTCCAGATTCTGAGAAAATTTAAAGATGAATCCATGTAAACATAACAAGACAACAGGCTTAAGATACATTTTACAAAGGCTCACCAAAATGGCAGGTTTTATTTCTCAACAGCTTCATCTTTAATTACTAGTTTTGTCAAAACCTGCCGGGCCAATTGATTTACAGCCATTACTTGGTTGGGCCGCTCACTGGTCATAAACTGAACCTCCATCTAGGTTTATGATCTTCATCCATGTTTGTTGAAAAATCGGTATCGATTGGTCAAAAAAACAACCGAATGGGTAACAAGTCTCCATTTACAAGCGGACTAGATTTTAACAGCTTAATTGGTCCAACTTCTGTCCTTGCTTTGAACGAAAATCAAAAGTCTCATTATACAGCCAATAAAAGCAACGTTTGACGATCAAATCTCAAGTTAAACACGCACTTACAAGTCTATTACAAATCTTGACCAAGTTATATTGGCTTCTTTTTGCAACCGATTTAACCAACCAGACGAACAAAATTAAAGAACAAAGAATACTTGATATACACAAAATTAACACAAAATTAAGACAATCTAATAACCTAAAATAGTTACATAATGATTAACTAGATTAAATTTAATACAAAAAAAACATTACAATTTTTAATGAAAAAGAGGGAAAACATATGATCAGAGCTGGCAAAAAGAAAGGGTTGTCCAATAGCAAGCAGAGCGGTTTATTTGAAAGAAATAAAAACATGACCTTAAATTATATTTCAGTCCAAGCAGCTTAATTGTTTCTCTTTAAATCATCTTACAGTCAAATCAACTGGTTTAATTGTGCATTAAGTCAACCTTCAATTGACAGACATGACATTGATCTTTGGCAAAAAGGCTTCCAAAGGTGACCCAATGAAGGGAATGATGAAGGGAAGAAGTTCTAGAATTGAAAAGTGGCTTAAATAACAATTGATTGCTCTCGTCTAAATTAACCATTTTCAAGTCTCAAATTTCAACTGTAAACATCTTAAAGGTTTCCCGTTGATCAAGACTGTCAACTACAACAACAACTAAGACTGAAGACAATGTTAATCCTGATAAGAGTAGATCCAAATACACAAATGTAACAAAAAGCATTTGACATGAAACAGTTTATCAATGAACTAACCACTAAATCCTCTTTTAATCATTAATCCCAATTACAAATGAACCTAAAAAGACCAAAAAAGAGACCCAAAATAGAGTTGCAAATTGAGTGGCAGCAAAAAATAATAGCAAGACAAGAAGAAGACAAGTTTTAATTAAGTGAATCACAATTACAGAGTTAAGAGGGAAACGTAAAAGTATGTTAATAATGATAATAAATATTGTTGATTATCTGTATGTTGATCATCTTGGAGACTTAATATTGACATTGGATAAAGTTGAGGTTAACCACAAAACAAAGATAAGCTTGTAATGGCTGGCAAGGCTGATGGCTTGACCATCATCAATTTGGCCAGTTAATAAGCTTTGCCTTCTTTTTTCACTGCCTTTAACTTCCTTCCTTTTCCCATTTCAACTCATCTTCATCTTTCTCTCTTTCATATCTTCATCCTTTCCTCATTGTTAACAAATTAATCCATCAATTGTCCACAGCAAAAGCAAGAATCCAAACCAATTGAATTGACCGTAAAAACACAATTTTGGGTGAATCAAGTTAATAATGAAATGAATCTTTTATTGCAAATCATTTTGTTCATATTTTTGTCCCAAATGATTGATAAACTCTGTCAAAGACTGACCAACATTTTCACATATTTTTCCGATTTCAACCTTTTCTCTTCACCACAATTAGTTAAGGTTAAAAGATGAATGCGTTTAACATCTGAAAACATCAACATTGTCCACTTGTTGGTCATTAATGTAGCAAAAGTGTTAACAAGTAAAGCTCATCATCTTTCGATTATCAACATTTTCATTTTTACTTCAACTTTTTCATTCTTTTCTTTCAACATTAATCTTCTTCTTTTTTTCCCTTAATTTGCAAATAAATATCATTAATCTAACTCTATCTTTCCATGTTACCAATAAAGTTGATTGTCGATTAAAAAACATCATTCACTTGATTCAATTTGAAGAGGTTACAAGTTGATTCTCAATCCAATGGAAAAGTTTCCATTTCTGAATTAACCTTCACTGACCTTTACAGTTGAAGAAGAAAAATGTTCAACAATTAACTCATTCAATACAAAGGTGTTAATCAGATTTTAACCAGAAATCATCTCTAAATAGCGCTTTATCACAACTCGATGAAAGTTGATTGAAAACGGTTAAAGCACCAAATCAAAGCTCAAACTTGAAGCAAAATCTCAAGTTAATCTTGAAACCATTTTTGTTGACCAAAGCAAAAACGCGATTCCGATAAGACTAACAACTTTCAATCCTAATTAGCTGATTACAATTAAATCAACTTTTCCATTTTTGCCTTTTTTTCTGTTCGGTCTTTTTAACTAAATTTTGAACATTTCAATTCTAAAGAAAAGCAAAATTGAAGACAAAACTCATCGATTATCTTTAATCGATTCAGATCTAAACTTTTCATCCTTTCTTCTTCTTCTCTCATCTTTCTCGTCATCTTTCCCTGCTATCTTCAATAACTTGTAATCATTTGTGTTGATGATTCCATGAGTTACCATGAAGAGTTTGGAGAAACTTTTCTTCATCTTTTTTTTCGCAAACTCAAGCAAAGTAGTAAAGGATATAAACCATTGGATGAGCAAGATTTAACACAAAATCAATTCAATTAAAGTCGAAGCTAAAGAAGCTAAGAAATGAGTTAGAATAATATTGATGAAGTTGAGGCTGAAAGTGATTAAAATGTTGTAACTAGAAAGTAGAACATGAAAATTTTCAGATTCAATCATGCAATTGATATTCAACTTTCATCGACTTCTTTTCTTGAAGAAAACCATTTTTAAAGGCAACATTTAATGTTATCACAGTTACATGTTAAGTCTGACGATAAGTTAAACATTGTATTGGCTAATGAATGGACGATCATAAAAGTTTCATTTTTAAATTCAATTTCAAGTTTAACTTGTAAATGACTCGAAACACATTAATTTTATTCTTGCTGATTTCCTTCTCATCCTCTTCACCTCTCTATCCAACCCTTTGATTCTCCAAAAGAGTAAATCTTTTTTCCCTCTTCTTCTTTCACTCATCTTCTTCATCCTTTTCTCCTCTTTTCCTTCTTTCCCAGTCTTCACTCATTCCATCATGATTAGGTTAGACTAACTAACTGAATTATTGGTGTAATCATATTTTTCTTGGTTAACTTACCTTTAGGGGCCAACATAGGATGAAGAACCCTAAAGATGGTTCCTGAGCATTTATCATGGCCTTTTTACCTCTTCCTTTATTCACCTCATTATAACTCTAATTTTATTAACATTATCTAACTGTGGTTAAATTCAACTAATAGAGGTAAACTTTCTTTATTTGTATCCCTTCATAATTAAATGTATCATCAACTCAAACAAAATTTCAATTTTTCTTTCAATATTGATGTCTAAAGATGTTGATTGGACCAGGTGAAGCATCTTTCAATATCTGATCGGTTTAAAGAGAAACTTGCTTTCATTGGGTAAAGTCATTGTTGGGACAAAGCTGTTGGTAGCAAGTCAGGTCAAAGCTGGTTGACATTGAAGACTTGTAACTGAACTGTGCTTCTAGACATCATAAGTCAATATGGTTTAGTCAAAGTTAGTGTTTATTGGGTTGCAACAATGACCTTTATTGAACCGTTTTTTGAAGGTAACCATTATTTAAGCAAATGGTTAAATTGTATCAAAAGACAGCGATAAGAGGATAAGACCTGATCGAAAGAGTCAAAATGAAGATTAAAGAAACCTAAATGGAAATAGGAAAAGCTATTGAAAGCAAAGGAAAGTCGAGGCATTTGAAAATTAAAAAAGTGTTGGAATCTAAAGTCTATATGTTTCGTCAACGAGCTTAAGTCTTGAGAAACATCTCCAAGTCATGAGATAAAACACTCGGGCTTCACCCTCGAGTTTATATCTCATAACTCGATGCAGTGACTATCACTTATTAATAGCAAGAAATGTTTATGTTTTATCAGTTTTTCATTTCTCAAAAAGTTTTGTCCTGATCTTGAAAGTTTTATTTATAAGAAAGCGCTGTTTTATCTTCTTCAAAAGGCATTTTCGACTCAACATTCAAGTGTTTTGCCTGTAATAGTTAAGACTAGTTTCATAATTATTGGTGCAATTTACAACAATTACTTTGAAGCACAGTGCCTACGTGATTGAGTTGACTCGATTTCGATTCTGATCCTAATAACAATTTTGTTTTCCTTTTTTCACTCTTGCTGTTAATTGTTCTAATCAACATCATCTCTTGTACGATAGATAAATGTGCAACAATCAACCAATCGGATCTAAAAAATAACAGTTCCAATAATCCAGTGGTTACCATGCACTTAGCTTTACTAATTTTAATTTTGCTAGACTTTGTTTTGCTAAATGAATTGTTTCAGAAATTTGATTCTTTTGTTTCAATTTTTTCAAATTTGCAGCTTTTGCATTCATTTGTTCAACTTTAAAATTTAAAGATTCATAATATTCCAATGATAGAATATCGATATTCTCTTCCTCATGATAAGAATCTTGATCCTAAATGAAATTGACATGTTTAGTTGATCAAATGGTTTCATTTCCGTACATTTTGAAAAGTGACAAAAGGAAGAAAAAAAAGTGAACTCAAAAGTTTTAATGAAAGTTGAGTAAAAAAGTAGTCTGGAAGATGGCGAAATATGAAACTAAAGATGAGGATGATAAGGTTGAATGAGTGAAGATGACGTTGAGAGTTGAAGATAAGTGTTGATGATGTTTATGTTGGAGTGAAGACTACTTTTTGCATGATGACTTTCATCCTCATCTTTCCAACTTCTCTTCATTTGTTGTTTTTTAATCTTGTCTGACTTTAAATTTGGTTTTACTTTCAATGAAAGAAGAGCAAAAATTAAGCAAAATATAAAGTGAATAAAACCAACAGAAAGACGCAAAAAAGATGAAAACAGGAGGAAGAAGAAGAAGATGAAGAAGATACAGAAAGTCAAAAAAAGGAAAACATAAAGTCTTAAGTCGAGGCCACTAATTGATAGATTAGTTTCATTTTGTTCCATCTTCGTCTTCAATAACCATTCAGATCACACACCTAACCACAGCCTGTGATCATGAAACCTCAATAAAGTTGGACACTTTCCAATGTCCATTGGTAAAGGTAACAAGAACAAGAAACTAATGTTAATAACTTTAATACTTGACAATTGTCATATCATGTTGAGAAGAAAAGTTATTGTTGATCAATTATTTTATCCCAAATGTCAAGTATAGCCATTTGATACACTTGATCCACCTCATCATCATGAAACCACCAAACAAGATGAAAACGTTTTCACCAAATTTATTGTTCCCATTATTAACTGATTGTGATTAAAATTTCTCATCACACACAAACAGATATTGAGCCTTGAAGAGTGAAAAGTGTAACCCAACAAGCTGAACCTGTCTCCGTGACAATCTTGGTAACTAGTTGATGACAGGAACAAAACAAAAAGCTTACTTTCTCTCTTAGTCTCAACTTAATTTGAACAATTTATTTTGCCCTCTTCATCTTCATCTTTATTTTCACCTCATCTTTACCCTCATATACTAAGCCTCATCTTATTCCCTCTAAGTATCACTGGAACGAGTAAAAATATTGTTTCCCCGTTTAGCCTTTTCTCTCTCTTTCTCTCTGGTACAATAATACCTTTTTTTGTTCATGTTACCGATAATCCGATAATCAATACAAGGGAATCATTTCAAAGTCAAGATAAAGCATCTTGTACTTTCACCATCATCATTATTATCAGCATCATTAACATCATAAAAAGTGATACTCATAATCATTCCATCTTAGTATTCAATGAATGACCAGTTCAGTATCATTACAATTCCCATTTGGATTCGTCGCTAATTTTAATTGATTAGTACAAAGAAAAACCTTTTTCTAGTTTTTCACTTTCATGCCTTTTGACCAGCGACTAAAACTAAACAAGAGTGACCAGCATTTGGGTCATTTTTAAATAAATTATCAAAGAGTCCTTAACATGAATAACAGCTGTTCTCGCTTACTTATGCAAACTAAATGTTAGTTCATTTAGCGAGATGCCGAAG